TCTTGTCCCCCCCTTTCGCCGGGCATTCCCCCCCCGCCTGCCAGTTCGCCTGGCAGAAGCTGGTGGGTGTTGTGGCTCATGCTCTGGCCCGCAAGTACCACTGAGCATCCCCGAAGGGATGGAGGGGTCCCTGCTCTGCCACCAGCACCTCTGAGCACAGGGAGATTCTCACTGGGTAATAACAAGCTGTGACCACCAAATAAAGTCCTTCTTCTCCCATCACCACGTCTGCAGTGCCGCTGTGTCTGTGCCGGGGAGGGAGTGGGCCATGGGGGGTTGTGCTCTCAGTGCAATGACATCCTCTGTGAGCGTATTCCTTGTTTCTAAGGGCTGTCGCAGACAAAGTTTCCTTGGCTCTGGAGTGCTCCCTTATGTGTGCTCCCTGCCAGTGCGTGACAGCGGGCTGGGAAGGGACAACCCAGGCAAAGGGCCTTGACAATGGGGGGTGTTTCAGAGAGGCGCATGGGAATAACGAGGGATTGCAAAGAATCCACTGCTTCCCAAGGCGGGTTATCATGCACGTAGCAGACCCTCATCCCCAGGCACCCACAGTGCCAAAGACACACCACCCCCCCTTGCAGACTGAAGGCATTCAGCTCCCAGTGTCATCCAGTGAATAAACCCCACCATGGTAACTGGTATCTGGGCTTTGCCATGCCTGACCCTCCTTCTCCCATCTGAAGGGCCTTCATGGTTCATGGAGCAAGGCTGTGGGTCAGGCGTGGATATTCATTCACTGGGACAAGGGTGACAAATTCAATTTTTTTAGCTATTTTATTATACAAAACATGAAAAACCCCCATGAAGATGGCCAGGACTGTGTTTATCTTATTCTTAAATCTTGTCTTAAACCAAGACTGGAGACTCTTTGCACAAGGGAGCTGACAACAGAGCTGTTTACAGCATCTGGGGCAGCAGTCTTGGCTCTGATAGAAGTTTGGAGTTCTCAGGGATAAAAAGGTTGTTTTGGGCCATAATCCTTCAAAACATACCCTCACCTCACCTGGGTTCAGCAAACGTCTCCCATGAGCCAAACCCACAGGGTTTTGTACAAAGAACATGCAGCTCCTGGCAGCGCTGTGCAGGCAGCATGTGCTGACCCTGCCTCGGGCAGGGCATCAGAGAAGGGCCCCTGCAGTGCCCTTCCCACCCCATTGTCCCATGGTTCTGCCCCTGAAGCCTATGGAAGTTTGCTGGCTTTGCTCACTGTGGCTTGTTTTGGAGGGAAAGAAACAAGTTGAAGGTGCCTCTGTAACTCTGCTTCGCCTGGATGCTGTAGAAAACAGGGTTGAAGAGGGGTGGGGGAATGTAGAATTTCCTATCACAGTGTGGAAGAGGGGGCTGCCTCTTTCCCGAATCTGTGCAGGACTTGCAACCTGCAGGCCCTTGTCCTTGGAGGCAATGCTGAAAGGTGTCACCAAGACTGTGATGGAGGACAACAATGTGAAGAGGAGATCTGAACCCATGGTGGACCACAATGGACAACAAAATAAAGAGGAGACCCGAACCCATGGTGAAGAAAATAAGGTCCAGGGCATAGATGCTGTTGCTCACCCTCTCTCTGGAGGGCAGGCAGTGCACCATGGGATGGAGGCAAAGGGGATGGGACAAGGTTCCCCCTGGTCACCAGACAGCCAGAGGAGATGGAGGACCAGGACATGATCAGGAGTATGCTCCTCTGTGGGTGGACCAGCCCTGTTTTGGCTGCCCTCATGCCTCTTGGCATGGTCACAGAGCCCCAGGGAGGGCAGAAAGCCATCAGCCAGTCAAGCAGCGTGGCAAAAAGCACTGCTGGGTCCAGGAAGGTGAGAAAGCAGATGAGGAAGAACCAAGACACAGGGGGATAGGGGTTAATCACCATGGGCAAGGACCACAGCACCACTGGAATGGTGGAGACACACAGCCCAAGGTCAGTTAGGGCCAGCATGGAGAGGACATGATGCAGGGCTGGTGGAGGCTTTGGTCTGCTTTGCTGGCACACAGAGTAACACAATTTCCAGTGCTCATAGTGACATGAACAGAACAAACTGAGGTGGAAATCTGGGGTAAGATGATGCCCTTCACACCCAGGCAATGTGGTTACGAGAAGGTCTGTGATCATGAGGCTGGTCCAGTGCTCTTGGTGTCCTCTCACTGGTTAGGAGTTGCAATCTGCACAGCCCAGATTTGGTTCAGGTCCAGTTTAGAAATGATAGAAACCTCCTGAATCCTTATGAATGGGATCTTGCAGCCCTGAAATAATGGGAAGCTCATCCAGCAGGTTGATGGGTTGTTCTCCTGTCACAGCAGCTTCTGTGAGACCCGAGACAGCACTGCAAACCTTTGATGGATGAGCACATCGTGTTGCTTTGGGAGGGAAGGAAGAGAATTTCCATAACAACAGCACAGACTAATAACTGAGTAGATTCCACGAAAGGAGGATTTGTTCTTGTGAAAATTGGTGGGGGAAAGCATTAAGAGGTGGTGCTTCTCCTCAGGCATCAAGAGATGCCATCTCTCCTTCCGGAGCCTACCCTTCTGAGACCCATCATGAGAATGGAGCCCCAGGTCTACAGATGATGGGATAAAAGATCAAGTGTCTTATTTATCTTGTAATAGACATTGTTTGCAGGTTTTACAGGTGTTAAGAAAAAGAATCAGTCGAGTGCCTGTGCTGGGACAGCAAATGGAGTCGCTGCAGTGAAAGGTGTGGCGGTGCTTTTTGGGCTTAGGAGAGAAACAGTTGTGGGGTTTCTCTCTTGTAAAGTGCTGCAGCACATTGAGATGGAACCTTCAAACCTCCTGCTTAAACCTGTAACATCTTAATCAAACCCCAGAGCCTTTAAAGGGATTCTTGCTTGGAGCTTCCTGTCAGTGGAAGGAGCAGGATAACCAAAGGACTAACGGGAATAACTATTTTTATCCATCCTGCTCCCCACACTTGTCAAAATAACAGGAGCAGGGGGAAAAAAGCAGTTCACTTCTTAGAATAAGGCAAAAATACTCTTTAAGTGACTCTGTGCTGCCTCTGCTGGAGCTATATATAGTGTAAGAAACGATTTGATGCCTCTAGAGGGAATTCTCTGTCAGGAATGTCAGATCTTCAGAAGACAGGTCTCAGAGCTGGCAGGGTTGGGATGTGATGATAACACAGTTCAGCCATCCATGCGATCTGCTTGTGGTGCTTTCCCATGGGAAATGAGGATGGGTGGTAATGTACTTGTTCTGGTTCTGCTAAAGACACTTTATTGCTTTTGAGAAGTAAATAAAGATGCTGTTTTCTCCAAGAAGCAGCATGGAAATACCCATAGCACCGACCGGCTCCGTGCCTCTGCAGCAACCGTTGCTGGTAGCTTTTACACTGCACGTTACATTACAGAGATATTTGGACAGAAAATCTCTGTGCCTGTCAGACAGGAGGGATCCTACTGAGCTTGCCCAGCCCATGGGCTCCCAGCCCCCTGGCTGGTGGGGCAGTGTGGGAAACGGGAAAGACCATGATGCTGTGTAAGAACTGCTCAGAGATAAAGAAAACATCCGTGTTTTCTCAACCCTGTTTTGGTCACAAATCCGAAACTGCATCAGAGGAGCTACTGTGAGGAAAATTAATTCTATCCCAGCCAGCACTCACTCCAAACCCATCACCTCACCACCCTTGCTGCCCGTTTGTCCATCTATCCACACACATCTTTGCCATCCACCCCTATTTCTCCCCCCAAAACTGTCTCATCTCAGTGGTTTCCACAGCCCGGGTGCCTCTTGCTGGAACACAGGGACACTGCAGGGATGCAATTGCTGATGTCTGGAGGAGGGAATAGACATTTCCATAGAGACCAACACCTGGTGCTACAACAGCGCATTTCAGACAGGACCTAAAGCCTTGAAGTCAAGCTTTAAGAACTGTGCTTTTTCATGGGTCCTTCACTAAACACAATGTGCTGGTGGGATGATGTTTTGCTCCTGCCCTGAAGTGGCTGGTGCTGAGCACACTTAGAGATGGCAAACTGGCTCCTCTGGTCCTTACTCACAGAGAGCCTGACAGATGGTGCTATAAAGCATGACTGAGCAAGGATGATGCCCTTTCTACAGGCTCCGTGTTCATCCTTCTGGGCAGAAGCTGACCATCCACCAGGGCTGGAGCCTCCCCGATGGCACAAACCCAGCTTGGTTGTGCAAACCCATCCTTTCCCTGTGTGCAGGCACACTGCTTATGTGCCTCGACAAGGAGGGAGAAGCAGGTGAGGAATATTCCTTCCTCATCCTCACTGTGGAGCAATTAAAGTGCTTCACAGAGGAGCACTGTGGAGGCAGGATGCCCATCCTCTGGGGTCACCCCATGGCTTGAGGACAGTACTTTTCTGAGCATAATGACTATTCACCCAGGCCAGAACAGTCGATGACGCACAGAGTGAATATGGGACATTTGTGGGTCATCCAGAGCACGTTTACAGATGATGAGGATGAGGAGCACATTCACATCTGTACACCCTAACTCAAATGCTTGAATCTCTATTTGCATGTTGAAGATGATTAGAGAGCCCTGGAAAGCTGTCTGCTAATTTAACTCACCCAGCTCATGATTCAGCTGGCAAAGGGAGAGCGGAGGCACAGATGTCTGGAGCTTTGTGTGGGAAGTGGGGCAGTTGGAAATAGCCTAATTCCATTCTTCATGGTGTGCTAATCAGTTTAGCCACATACCTCAACTGAACAATGAATGCCACATTCGTCCACTGAACAATGCCACGTCCCCCCATTGAACAATGCCACATTCCTCCACTGAACAATGCCACGTCCCCCCATTGAACAATGCCATGTCCCCCCATTGAACAATGCCACATTCCCCCATTGAACAATGCCACATTCCCTGTTTGCACAGGCAGATGGAATGTGAATTCCTTGAGTACCGAGGGCTGGAGAAGTTCAACTTCTTCCACATCAGCCACTGCAGCCCCCAGAAGAGCAGCAGAAAAACCTGGCAAAAAAATAGCACATGTTAAAAAACATTTTGGAACTTACTTGTTTACTTATTACCCCAAAAGGCACCATTCCTGTACTCAAAGCTTCAGCCCTTCAAGCGCAGCTTTTCCTTTACGATCCGCGTGTCACGCAGCGCTGTCTCCCTGAG